TAATTGCACTTGTATATAGAAGACTTTGTAAGATGTACAGAAGTTTATATATTTGATATTATGGAAAATACAAAAGTGATTTTTAGAAAAGAAGAGATTTCTATGGATGTTTCTCCTTCCCAGAGTGCGGCTGGTTTTGCTGAGATGGAAGCACCAACTCCTTCCTATGAAAAGACGAAGCCCACGGAGGCAGGTAAGTCCTTCTGAAGGCCAGGTGGGCACCGTTGGCGAAGAGCAGGGAGGTAAGGAATGTGCACAAATAGTCCCATCCTCAAAGAGAAAAGACAACACAATCCAATGAGACACTCAGTTACATCAAAAGACCTGAGCTCAAAATACTGGAAATGTCAGGAATACATTAGATGTGGTGGGCTTGTCCCTGGATACATCCATTTTGGCAAATGGTGTTTAAAGGAATATACTTTCTTAGAAATCAGGAGGTTGAAGTGGATCCAGCAACAGGTCTCTTAGCATTATTGTTGGGATCCAATGATCCCAAAATCTTTTTTATTTTCCCCTGCCTAGTGGCAAGATTAAAAATGGCATTGGATAGATGGCAATTTGTCCCTTTCTAGTTGGAAAAAAGAGACTCTGGTCCCTAACTCTCATGGAAAAACTGCTCATTAAATCATAAAACCAGAGTTGGAAGGGATCACAAGGGCCATCTAGTCTAACCCCCTGCCATGCAGGAATACACAATTACAGGGACTCCTAAAAGATGGCCATTCAGCTACATCTGTCTGGCTGTATCTGCACTGCAGAAATAATGTGAATTGACACCACTTTAACTACTATGGCTCAATGCTATCAAATTCTGAGATTTGTAGTCTGTGGTGGTACCAGAGCTCTCTGACAGAGAAGAATAAATATCTCACAATACTACAAATCCCAGGATTCCATAGCATTGAGCCATAGCAGCTAAAGTGGTGTCAAACTGCATTATTTCTGCAGTGCAGATTAGCCCTTAGTGCAGAAAAAAAGATAGGATCAACCACATAAAGTATCCTATGTAATATTGGTCCCATTTATCAGTTAATCTAAATATAACAGTAATAATATGTGGAAAGGTTTATTTACCAGTTGATGAATATTGTTATTAATCTGGATGATCCTGGGAAGTGATGTGTTCAGGGTGTTTCTGGCTGCATTGATTTTACGTATCTCGCAGTTCATAAGTACTCTTTGATTTAAAAATTTGGGCATTCCTGGCACAATGAGACACAATGAGATCAGCCAGTGTGAGATATTTTACATTTTTGAGCTTGGTCCATAACTCCTCTACCTGAAAGCATTTGAGCAAAGAAATTTTGCACACAGAAAACAAGTACGTTTGGTTCACACCATATATTTTTGCATAAAAATGAACAACTTATCAGCTGTAATCATCATCATCATCATCATCATCATCATCATCATCATCATCATCTATTTATACCCCACCTTTCCCGATCGCAATCAAGGCGGCTTACATCTAAAATCAAGTACAAAACCCCCCCGACAGTAAACAACTAAACAATATAAACAAACATATTAACCCCCCATTAAAAATACATTAAATGCAAGTCTTAACTAAAACCTAAATTAAATCAATAAGAAAAAATTGAAAACAAGAGGTAAAATTAAAACAATAGACACTCTGGGGCAG